ATAAGGTTACTGTTATTAGTACCTCTTTACTCTGTGAAGTACTGTTACTGAAGTCATTCTACATACCCCAGTTAGATCCTGATTTATTTAGCACCTTCCCTGTCATTTACCTCAGTCTTTGGGGTAAAGTCTCTGCTCAGTGTCAAAGCACTTGGGACTAGAAGCTCAGGCAGTGGTGACCTTGAATACAATAGCTGGTATCTCCTGCATCTCTCTGTCTTGCACATGCTGTGAAGAATAACACACTTGTACATCATGCTTTTTGGTGAAGGTCATCGTAGGTTAGATGGAAATAATGTAGGTGAGGACTTTGCCTATAGCAATGCTGGCTTTTACTGGTGCAGTTTAAAGAGTTTAGGGAAGCATTTGTAGACAGGTCTAGCATACCACTACTTTAGGGTCCTATATTAAAGACCTTCATTGTCCCTGTCACTTAATCACTACTTCCTGCCAGTGCTGGCACAACATGAACTCTTTACTACTTGTTTTCCTTCTGTCATATTTAAGGAGGCAGGGATGTCTTCTATGCTACATAAGCCCTAGTGGAATAGAAGTGGAAAATGTTATCAGTGGCCTTAGGTGGACCCTGAATGCATCTAGGGATGGTAATGAGTCTCATTCAGCTGTTGGTATATTATTTGCATTGAGTCTCTTAGAGGATAGGGTTCCTGGCTGACTCCTTACTTCTGTTGCTACATGTGCTGACGGTGAAGAATTTCATAATTTCTCCCTATTTTGCTTCTCTCTTCTGTGCCTGATCACAGCACTCTTGGATGAAGGGGTTGTTGATACCTACACATTAAGCACTTTAAGACACCTTCAAAGCTAGTTTTCTCCAAGATCTATGAACTTACAAAACATCTCCCCAAATCTTACTTCAACGCTAATGTTGAGGATCATTGACATAAGAATTGTTAGTCTTACTTTTGGGATTATGCTCTCAATTTTGTTTCTTTCTGATCTCTTTCTTGTCCTATGGGCCATATATTCATTGGATTAATTTCCCAGCAAGGATCCTGGTCATACCTTCTTTTTCTTAAGTTGGTAACTCCCTAAAAGTCTTCTAGGAAACGTTATCAGCTTTCCTCTCACCCTGTTCCCACCTATCAGAGTGAAGAAACTGTCTCTGAAAATGTATCAGAGAAAGTCAGCTTAGGAGAGTGATTCAGTATCACAGAGCGGAAGGTTGCAGAGAAGCCACAGTAATGGTGGTGAAGAGGAACAAAAAAATTTCATCTTTGAGACCACTGGAATGTGTGGTAGAATAGAGTGAGGTCAGGCTTTGCTCACACTTACTCTGCAGCCTTCCTGGCTGAGCTAGTTACTAGAATGTTTGGTTTACAAAACCTTTTTGGTTTTCTCCTTCATAGGTTGAAATATGTGCTAAGTTCTTCCAAAGCATCCCACATCTCAGTTTTTGGATTGATGCTAATCTGAAAAACTTAATAACTATATTTTATTATTTTAGGAGAAAAAAAATAGGCCTCATTAACACCAGAGAGAAATCTTTCCTATTTGGGAAAAGTCACTTCATGTGTTTATCTCCATCTCATACCTTCTTCTGGGTTCCCCATTCAATAGGAGAATATACTGGGGGTGATTGTGTCCTTACCAGAAGGTATTTGAGGAAAGGCGTCAGGAAATCAACATCCTTCTTAAAGAAATTTGGTCTTATGCAAAGGGATTAAATCTCTCCTGTCCTCCCAAGTCAAATGTTGTAGTATTTCAGACCAAATACACCATCCAGCTGGAAGTATCAAGCTGGTATTGCCATGCTGAATTGGCATTTTTAACAGTTTCTCTTTTGAGGTCATTTCCCACAATTATAAAATGCTTAAACAGAGGAAAGAAGGCTCAATTGTGAAGAGGACAGGTGCAATGGTAGTGACTGCTCCAACTTTGGGATTTCCTCGATAGACCATCTCAAGTTGGCAGAACCCTAGGGCCAAGTCCATAGCAGATGGTGCCCAGTGTTGGCACTCCAGTGTCCATCAGGCCTCTGCACTAAACTGGGTTGTAGCATTGAGTCTTTGTTGGCAGCCTTAGCAAAATCCTATAGGTTTTCTGTTTTTTTCTATCCCTCCCTGGTAGCTTGGCACTCTGATTAGTTTCCTAGGGACATAACTTCCTGCAAAGAGAAGAGTAAAGCCTGTTCTCCGAGTGCCGTTTGGTCTGAGGGCCATTATTTAGCACCTGGCAGCCCCTTTTCTTCCCCTTACAGCTGCAAGCTTCCTGGGATGAACCCCAGCTCTGCAGCTGCAGTATCCCAGCTGAAAAAAGAAGAGAGAAAGGCATCATTGGATGGAGTCCTCCCACCAGAGTCTTAGGCATTGTCTAAGATTACAACTCTAGATCTGGTTGGTACATGTTATGTGAATACTATGAAAGAGTAAGAACCAGAACCTCTTTTAAGGAGTGTAGGGAACAAAGTTGGCCTTGAGCTGGCAAGTTCTCTATTTCTCTCTCTCTCTCTCTCTCTCTCTCTCTCTCTCTCTCTCTCTCCCTCCCTCCCCCCCTCCCCTTCTCCCCCTCTCCCTCTCCTTCTCTTTTCCTCTCTCCCCACTCCCTCTTTCCCTCTCCTCTCCTCTTTTTTCTCCCCCTTTCTCTTGGAAATAGCATTGTAAAAATGCCTTTCTTTTTCATTACTTTGGCCTCTATTAATGACTCATCTTTCCATTTAATTGGAATATTCTCTCCCTCTCATTTCCCCTCCTACCCTCAGTGAAACAAAGAAAGGAAGGAAGAAAGGAGGAAAGAAAGAAAAACAAAACCCTTGTAACATGCATGGTCAAACAAAACAAATTTTTGTGTTGGCCATGTCTAAAAATTAGATGTTTCAGTCTGTACCCTAAATCTGTCATTTATCAAGGTGTGGGTAGCATGTTTCATCATGCTCCTCTGGAATCATAGTTGGGACTGACCAGCTTTTTCAGAATTTAGGTCTCCTTTTGTGTGTGTTATTTGGGCAAGTCTTCAAGCTCAAAGCAGATTAAATTCTACCTAGAGGATTAAGGAGTCAGTTTGGGAGAAACCAAGCCTTTGAGATGCTCAGTATAGATTCATGAGTGTTTACATGGCAGATGAACTTCAGATTTTGCTCTTTGACCCATCCTTCCCACATTAGAATTCATGCTCAATATCTTACTCCTCCTATCCGAGAAATAACTTTTATCTTTTTTCAAAGGCTGAGCCACTAAATTGAGAGAGTCAGTAGCAGATTTAGCATCAAAATATAAATGTGGAATCCCTGATCTAGGCCCTCAAGTCTCAAACTAACTTTGTTCACCCAAGTTATGTTAGTTTTTGTGAAAATTGGTCTGTTATGGAAGGGGGTGAAGGATTTACAGGGCCATGGTGAGGAAGAGTTAAGTCTCCTTTAATCTGGGCATGAAGGGAGTCTGTGTTTTTCCTATTACCATGTTTCATTTTGTGTAGCGTGTCTTCTTAACAGCATTGAAATGTTAAGCATAAGAACCGGTACCAGTATTCAAGTCTTTGCTTTTTTGGGAAGAGAGGAATGAGAACCATCTGTTCCACTCTGTTGGCTTCTAGCCTGTCTGTGCTCTGCGTTGTGGGACTGTAAACACTTAGCCTGTGGCCAGTATTGAGTCCGAACCTTTTCCCTCGATCCTCAGATCTAAATTGTCTGGTTTACATAATTAGATGTAATTTTTTTCCCTTAGTATCCCCAAATTTCCCTCTCCTTTTTCCCAGGTCTTCACTTTCATTCCTGAATTGCCATTATATTTAGACTTATCATTTACATCTTTTTTTGAGATGTTTAAACTTCTTCCCTTCAGATTCTTCAGAAATAGACCAAAGACATGATTGAGCAAACCCTGAAGATAAATGTAGCTTAAAGTTCTGTCTTCTCCCCAAATGCAGAAACTCTCTGTCAGCCTGCCTTTGCTTTGGCTTCATCCTTTTCCTGGTTGGCATGTAGGTAAAGGTGAGGGTGGCAAACTTACCTGTTCATAGGTGTAGGGCCTGCAGCCATTTTCTAAAGATAATTGCTTCACATTTTTCCCAAGTCAAATGGGTGAAAAGCCATAAATTGAAATTTGAATGATAAGGTTTGTCCATAGCAGGCACTCAGTATTTCTTGAATGAATGAATTTTAAACCTAAGCTACTTATATCTTTTCATTTATTGACATTAACAGCACAATAAACCAGGACAGGATATAGAAATCCTAAACAGTTCCTATGTACCCTAAGTTCCTTTACATCAGTGGTTTTCAGCATGAGATCTGGGGGTCCCTGGGACTCTTTCAAGGGGTCCATGAAGTGAAAATTGATGTTTTAATTTCTAATATGGTAAATATCAGTAGATATAATGCACATAAACAAAAACTCTTTGAGAGGTAATCAATTGTTTCTAAGATTGTAAAGGGTTCCTGAGACCAAAAAGTTTGTGAACCAGTGCTTTACATCGTCCCCTTTCTCTCCTCCTCATTTCTGTTTCACCATAATCTGTACTAACCTAACCTTCTCCTCATAGGGATTGAACATCTTATTCTCTTTTGTATTAAACAAAAGTTCCTGGACTCTCAAGATATTCTCTGAAGTTCTGAAGGATTTTATCAGAAGGCCAATGTGCAATAATGACGGCCTATTTTAAACGTGGCAATAGACTAGTCCCAACTCGAGGTTCTCTAGGAGTATTGGGATATTTCCTGTCCCTCCCTTTTCCTACCTTGGTGTCAAGTCAGAGCCACTGACTTTGTGTTCAGAGAATAATTACAGAATTATATTTTTTCCAAGCTCAGTGTAAGAAGGATGTATACTGAGAAGAGAATGAACTAAAATTATATGTTGGGTACGAGGTTCCTAAAAAAGAATTGGCATCTGGAATTAATGAGGAGGTGATTGGAGTTTACTGTCATGCTAGGGTCGAACATTGATTTTTAGTGTGTTTAAGCAAGAAACGTGTGTGTGTGTGTGTGTGTGTGTGTAGTCTAGCATGTACTTATGCTTTTGTTTTTGTTTTGTATTTTACAGTACAATCATCATTCAAAAAATCTTTGACCACTTCCTCTGAGGTGAGTGTCAGAAGATAATAAGAATTTGAGTAGGGTGAAATTTTTTTTGTACATGGTACTAACCTCTACTAGCTAATGCCCTCGGTTAGGGCAGAATGAGCTGACTCTCGCCTCTGGTAGACAGAAAAGAGGTTCCTAGTGTCTAACCAATGTCACTTCTGCTTTGATTTTATTTTATTCTTTCAGCGAACATAGAATACGACTCTTTACACCATATAGGAGATATTCTTTAAAACTTCCTTCCTAGACCATATTCCTTGCCTTTCTCTAACTTTTCTGCCCCCTCCAGGGATCTGTGATAACCTGTAGAACACACAAGTAGAAAGCAACCAAGTCTTGAGGGCCTTTGAAGAAATCCTTCCTCTGGGTCATTTCCCAAGATTCCTCTGCTCAGAAACCAGGGATCTAATGATAAGAGTGCTGGTATTGGGACTGTGGAGGTCTCTAAGTCCCGACTCCAACACTCGTTAGCTGTGTGACCCAGAGCAAATCTTTAGCTTCTAAGCCTCATTTTCATCATCTGTTCAATGGAGATAGAAGTACTCATACAACTTATTTTACAAGATTGTTGTTTGAAAAGTGCTGTATAAATCTTAAATCATAAGAATGTGACCAGCTGTGATTATCTTCAGGAACCAAGGGCCTTGAGAGGAGCCATAGAATTTTAATGTCATGTAGTGAAGTCTAGGAGGCCTTGTTTATTTATATTCCTCTCTTCTGACTGTTGGCTCCAAAGATTAATCTTATTGGTTCTTCCCTAAATCACCATTCCCTCTTCTCTACTTATTTTGAGGATAGAAAACGTAAGTCAAGACTAAACTCCTAGCAATTTCTCTTACTGTGACTGGAATGGTCCATCTCAGCCTTGTGACTGCTGGGCTCTAAATCTGCTCCCATAAGCCAATGACTAGACTGTCTAGGCAGTCTGTGATCTTTTAATCTGACTTACTAGGGTCCAGAGTGATTTGGTGATCAGCATTTTAGAGGTAGAAAATGAGCCTCCTTACTAATAATTTTAATAACAGCAGCTGACATTCACGTAGCACGTTAAGGTTTCCAAAGTGCTTGACAAACATTGCCACATTTTATTCTCTTAATCCTATGAAGTAAGTACTAGAGATACCATCCCCATTTTACAGATGAGGAAACTTGAGTCTCTGAGGGATAAAGGGAGTTGACCATGTCACATAGGTGGTGTTAGAGTTGATACTTGAATCAAGTTGTCTCTCACTTATAAATCCAAAATGCTTTCCATTATTTAGTAATTCATCCTTTTAAAGGTCAGCCAAGGATTTAGCATAGTTTCTGGGATACCTGTTCCACAATCTCATTTTTTCTTCCTTTCTGTTGACAGTATCATTGTATAGCTACACTCTTCAATTGACCTTTGTTCCTGCTTCTGTTAATGTATTGGAAATAAGCATTAATGCTTTGAAGCTTTATTAAATGCCCTTAACCTAGAAAGCAGAGCATCAGTGATTGTATCTACTTTGGTAATTGCCTAGTGTGAATATTTACTTTTGTCTTCTTTGTCTTTGTAGGTATCTGGCTCCTCTGGTCCAGTCAAGAAAATAGGACATAGAAGTGTTGATCCCTCTGGGGAAACAACATATAAAAAGGTATATCTGGATTCATGTCTCTCCTCTTAGAACTGGGCAGTGATAGCTCTGATTTCCCCTTGTCCCCTTTTCTGGTTCTCACATCTTCTGCCTTTTCGAAATAGCATTACAAATAGCTAGTGCAATGCACTCACAAAAGATAGACTGTTATTCGTCTCTGTATGTTTAAATGAGGATGTTCTTAATTGAAGGTTTACATTTTTGTAACAGAGTTGGCAACAAGTACCAGCTTATTGTACAAAAGAAACTGGGTTTCTCTGTTAGGGAAAGGCATACAACAGGTCCTTCAAGGCTGCTCTCACCTCACCTCAGGGCAGATACATCTCCTGCTACCTTTCGTGTGATGCCTCATATACATGAAACTGCACGAAGAGGCCAGCTCCTTATATGGCAATTCCCGGACAGACAGCAGCTGGCTCGCGTTGCAGCTTGTCTCGTCAAGCTCCTTACTTCCAAGTATTGTCTTTGGAATGAAAGAATTCTCAAAACTGGTGGGAGGAGCCTAAATATCTGCCCTTGAGATACCAAGTAGGATGTAAAGGTGGTTGCACAACCAAGAAGAGATAAGAGGATTTGGGTAGGGGCAGAGGCCAGGGGGAGAGAAAAGAAGAGCAGCCACTTGAGATTTTCTCAGCTCTTGGCCAAGCTCCAAGATATGTTCTTGTTCTGTAGCCCTCCCTGGGAGCTCTGTAGCTAGCTTCCTAATAATAGTACCTACCTCACAGGGATGTTGTCTAGATCAAATGAGATATTATATGTAAAGACTTTTGCAAACCTTAAGCACACTGTATAAATGCTAACTACTCCTGTGCCAGAGCTCCTTTGACTGGTATAGGAGGTGCTTAGGGCTGCCAGCCTATTGATTTGGTGGAGCTAGATTCTGGTTTCTGGTCATATTGGCTCTTCTGACATCCTTGTCTTAGTGGCATTATCATAAATCAGCACTTCGATGTAGTGACATACACTTCAGATTTTCACATAGCTAATTCTTGAAACAGAAGTTAAGTCAAATCAACAAACATGTATTTAGTGCCTCCTATTTGCCAAGCACTGTGTTAAGCACTGGACAGGTAAAGAAAAGCAAAAACCTGCTCTCCAGGAGTCTAATGGAATAGAAAGCATATCCAGTATAAATCAGAGATAATTGACACAGGGGAGGCACCAGCATTAAGTGAGTTTGTAAAAGACTTCTTTCATAAGGTGGAATTTTAGCTGGGATTTGAAAGAAGCCAGGGATAATTGAATCCATGGGAGCTGATGAGATCACCAAGTGAAATAGTATAGAGGGAGAAGAAAAAAAGTTGCTTCTTTTTATTCCCAGCTTTTTTTGTTTTGGATGGTTTGTAGTCTCTCTTCCATCCCTGGGTAAGCTGTAGTTTAATTTTGCTAAAGTCTATAATATCTTAGAACTTTAGAACTGAAAGGGGTCTGTACAATTATCTAGTCCAGGAGTTCATTTTTTTGTTACATGGACTCCTTTAACAGTCTAATGAAGCCTATGCATACATCATGTTTTTAAATACTGAAAATAAAATACATAGGAATATAAAGGAAACCAATTATATTGAAATATAGTTATTAAAATACTTTAAAAAAACCAATGTATGGATTCCAGATTAAGAATCCGTGATCTAGTCCAATTTTATAGATGAAAATCTCTTGATGCTATGACAGTAGGATGTGTTTATTTTTTCATTTTTTCAATAGGCAATGTTCAGAGTGGCTTAGGCTACTGTTTCTGCCTCCTTTTCTCTTAAACAAGATGCAGAAATGCAAATAGTTCCATAGTTCATTAGATTAATACCTTCCTCTTGTAGTAGGCTCCGAATCTCATAGTACAAAGTCTTTCCTATGGAATTGGGATCCTGAATTCGGGTGGGTGAGGGCCTTTGCTTCCTGGATTTAGAATTTTTTGATCACATTGGAGAAGATGAGTTTATTAAGCCCTTCCTTTTTCTTTATGAAGTGATCTGCATCTTTTATGTTCCTTTTACCCCCAACTAAGAGTTTTTAGTCTTTTGGGGTCCTAGTCAGTCTCTGCTGCATGCTGCTGTGATCTCTCCATAGCCAGCCAGGCACCCATGGAGTTACCATCAGGGGTATAAAGTGCTTGGCGGGGAGGAGGATGTGTATCTGTTGGTTGTCTTCCAGCATTCTCAGCTTGAGAGGGTTCCTAAGATCGAAGTCTAAGAGTGGGGAAGAGACAGAGCTATGAGCCCTAAAGAAAGTGTGTCTGGCAGTAGAGTGAACTCAGCTGGAAGGGAGCACCCTGCCTGGAGACCCAGCTCTTGCTGTTCTGTCCAGCAGAATGTTCTGCTCCCTCTCGGCACTAGCAGGGCCTGATGTAGCAGCAAGCCAGGAGCACGTATTTTTTTTTTTCCCCGCATGTTACCGAGAAGCCTTTTGCTTTCATTTCTTTCTTCTAGCACCCTGAATCTGAACTTTCATAGTGTGTGTCAGATTTAATAACTTGAATTTATCCTACTTTTCCTCTCCCCCAGACAACCTCATCAGCCTTGAAAGGTGCCATTCAGTTAGGCATTACCCATACCGTTGGCAGTCTTAGCACCAAACCAGAGCGGGATGTCCTCATGCAAGACTTCTATGTAGTGGAGAGTATCTTCTTCCCCAGGTGAGATAACCTGACATTTAGGGGAACAAATCTGGTCCCTTTCTGCTGATGCACAAAATCAGATTTAGGGGTTCCTCAAGGAGATTAGATGTGGCATTTTCTGACCCCAAAAAACCCACACACACAAAATTGGTCTTACTACTTTGTAATTTACTTGATTGTGCACATTATATGTCTCCAGTAGAAAGTAAGCTCCTTGAGGTTAGGGACTGTTTGGTTTTTGTCTCTTGTATACCCCCAGTGATGAGCACAATACTTTGCACCTAAAGGTTTTGGAAGGTTGAACAGCTCAGGGAGACAAACAAAGAAAGATCGTATCATCTAGTTGAGTCTAGTCCACATCCTGACACTGGCCCTTAGAAGTCAGGTACGCTCAACCATGACCCTTGACCTGGGCAGTGGAGTTCAGTCAGAACAGAGATTGTCCACTAATGATCTGTAGCAAGTTGCTGGTACTTGCTGCATTTTAAGGGTAGGAAAAGGAGGGCCTGGTGTGGTACCCACCGCCACCCCCCAGCAGTGTGGCCAGAATCTCTATTGATGTGGTAGTCGTATACACTCTGGTTTAAACCCTTTTAAAGGTTTATATGATCTTCCTACTGAGGAAGGCGTTTGGCAAAGGTTAAAAAGTCAGGTGTCTCCCCAGACCCAATCAAGGGATCATGGGTCTGACTTGCCGTTGCAGGTCTCCTTGTCCTTAGCTGCCACAGAGGTTTAGTTTTCCATGCTTAATGAGCTGAAAACTAAAGCAGCTGTTGCTTTTTGCTTTTTTTTTTTTTTAATGAGTTGAGTATGGGAGTAATATGAGTACTCCCTTAGCCCATGCCTTAATCCCCACACTCAGCCCTTGACTCAACAAGTGACTCAGTCAGAACCTTGATTATCCCTCTGGGAGGGTGATCTTGGCTAGACTCTGGGGGAGCACTGAGGGAGGCTTCCTGACACATTTTTGTAAGTCTTGACTGTTTCTACTTATCTTGTACAGTGAAGGGAGCAACCTGACCCCTGGCCATCATTATAATGACTTCCGTTTTAAGACTTATGCCCCTGTTGCTTTCCGATACTTCCGAGAGTTATTCGGAATACGGCCTGATGACTACCTGGTAAGCTTCTGGGATGCCTTTCTTCCCAGTTCTTCTTCAGCCCAGAATTCTATTCCCAGGTTTGCCAGGTCCTGGTGTTTCTGAAACTCTTTTTCTTTTTTTTCTGGATCCCAGTATTCCCTATGTAGTGAGCCACTAATTGAGCTCTGCAACTCTGGAGCCAGTGGCTCCATCTTCTACGTGTCCAGTGATGACGAATTTATCATCAAGACTGTCCAGCACAAAGAGGCCGAGTTCTTGCAGAAGTTGCTGCCAGGATACTACATGGTAAGAGAGCTGGGTTACAGTTCCCTTCCATCTGCTTCCAGGCCATGGTGCCAGCGAGCATGAAAAAGCAGCTTTGACGCTTCCTTCCCAAGAACTTTGTTTTGGTACTTTTTATCCCTTCTTCTCCTGCCTCACCTTGGTCTTAGTTTTCTGTGTCTGGCCTACCCTGAGGTTCACAGGTAGGGTTGGGTTTGAGGCCTTCTTTAAGATCCCAGGGCAAAGCCACATGCTCAGGTTCAGTTTCTTTAACTTGACTTCTGCTGACTTTGCCCTCTTTGTATATACCCCTAGGCTTGAGGATAGGTCAGGAAGGCCTCCTAGTACCTTTTTCCTCCATTTGTCCCCAGGATGTTTCCTTTGTCACAGGATGATCTCATCCTTATCTCAACAACTCCAGAGAAATATTTCCTCACTCATTCTGTATCCTGACCCTAAATTACTATTATTGTATGGGTCACTGTATCCACAGCTGTTCTTGTTGTAATGATTTCTGTGCAGAATTGAAATGAATGCTATGGAGGATTCAGACAAGTAAGAGTAGCTTGAAAATCCCAGGCTGACAGACCCTAAAGCTCTGCCTTGGGAAGTAAATACCAGCACTCCTAAGGCAAAAAAGTGATAGAGATAAAGATGATGGTATCACTTATCCTGGAGCTTTAGTGAAAGTCATCTTCCCCTTTAGTGTATTCCCCCTGCATCTCTCTTGTCTCTGCCCCCTCAGAACCTGAATCAGAATCCACGGACTCTGTTACCCAAATTCTACGGGCTGTACTGTGTACAGGCAGGTGGCAAGAACATTCGAATTGTGGTGATGAACAACCTACTTCCACGCTCAGTCAAAATGCATGTCAAGTATGACCTCAAGGGCTCAACCTACAAACGACGGGCTTCACAGAAAGAGCGAGAAAAAGTGTTCCCCACCTACAAAGACCTAGACTTCTTGCAAGACGTGCCAGATGGCCTCTTCTTGGATTCTGACATGTATAATGCCCTGTGCAAGACGCTGCAGCGAGATTGCTTGGTGAGTGCCCCCTTGCCCCTGCAAAAGGAACATCAGGATCATGCCTCAGTATTGACCTTGTGACAAGCAAGGTAGGATGATATTCCTTAAATGTCCCTTCCCTCAAAAAAAAGTCACCAGACTTCTCACTGACACCAAGTATCACAATGAACCCAGCCCTGTGAAGTTTGTAGTTAGAATAGCCTCTTTGTCACCTTGCTTAGCTCCTTCACAAGAATCCAGTATTACTTTATAAAGTGCAGGGAGAAAGGATGGGCAGAGACAGAGGGTGAAAGCTGGTAAGGAAGACTTGGGAGAAAAATGGGAAGAATGGGCTGAGGGGCCCCTGAAGGAATGGAGGATTTAGAGAAAGATTGATAGAGAAACATGCTGTTCTCCAGGGAAGTTAGCAAGGTATATCCACATGGAACTTGAGAGCCTGAATTATGCCAAGAGGAGGGTGAAAGGGGAAGGGTCCCCTTTCCCATCAGGCCTTTGTTAGAGTTACAGGAGCCCCATCTGTTTGTATTGGGAAAGAGAAAGAGAAAGCTGCTTTTTTACTTTGAGCTTCAATTTGCTATTGGTACTTTATCTTCATTTCCAAATTTATTCTTCGTCCCTCTCCTATCTGGTGAGCTTGCCCTTGTAACTAAGAGTTCAGAAAAAAAGAAAAGAAAAAAAGACACTTTTGGAAAACTAATACACACATCAACCAGGTCTGACAGTAATAGGCAGTGCCCCATGCCTTTCTTCCGACAAAGGAGTAGTTCATTTTTTCATTTCCCTTAGGGCCAAGCTTGGTGGTCGTAATGACACAGCATTTAGCTTAATTTTGTTGTTCTTTCCATTTACAGTGTTGTCCTTGTTTTTGTTGTTTTCCTGGCTTTGCTTACTTGACTTTGCATCAGTTCTTTTAAATCTTCCCATGCTTCTTTGAATTCTTTGTAATTGTGATTCTTTATAGCACAGTGGTATTTCATTATAGTAACATACCACAGTTTATTTAGCTGTTTTCTGTTGGTTCTAGTTCTTTGCTTTCCATAATGGTTATACCAGTTCACAGCTTCATCAACATTGTATTAGTGTGCCTGTCTTTCCATAGTCTCTCCAACATAGACTGTTACCATTTTTTGTCATCTTTACTAATTTGCTTACCAGGAGGTGAAACAGAATTGTTTTGACTTTAATTTTTTTAAATTACTTGTGATAGTTTGCAGTTCTTTTGAGAACCATTTGCTAATAGGCTAATTCTAAGAGAACCCTTCCAAATTCTGCTTTTGTAGGGGGTGGGTGCCAGGTCTTAGTAATCCTCTTCCTCGTGCTGGAATTTTCACTTCCTTTTTTCCAATTTGGGTTTCATGTGTCTCAAAGACTCTAGCCAAAGTATCTTCCTTACACCTAGGTGCTACAAAGCTTCAAGATCATGGACTATAGTCTGCTGGTGGCGATTCACAACATGGAGCATGCCCAGAGAGAACGGCTGCCCACTGAAATGGGCTCTGGAAATGACACCCGAAAACCAGCCCCACAGAAGGCTCTCTATTCCACAGCTATGGAGTCCATCCAGGGGGAGGCCCGACGGGGTGGCACCATGGAATCAGAGGACCAGTGAGTATATGATGAGTCCTGGGAAATTCAGTGTAAGGCAGGTCACTATTGATTGTAATTCAGTTTAGAATAGAACCATCTTGGACCCCATCCGTGAAAATCTAGTTATTGGACTACTATTAAGCGAGGTTGTCCTGTAGCATGACTCCCAAGAAAAATGTTATGGTATAGGTAAAGATCTAGTGTAGATTGTGATATCCATGGGATAAGGTTGATCATTGTCCAGTGGGGCTTATTAGGGAAGGTTTCCTGAAAGGCAGGTTGGGGAGGGTTGGAAGGAACTTACCTGCAAAATATTTTTGAAGGGAGAAGATTTCATGATTCTCCAATCCTTGGAAATTAAAGTATAGTTTGTGCTTTAGTGAGCTCAAGTCCATGGCCGAATTTGACTTAGGGATGGGAGGTGCCATGCTTTTATAGCTCTGTGGTTTCCTCATTCTTCTCTCTCTCTTGCATTTGTCCCAGGATGGGTGGCATTCCTGCCCGAAACAATAAAGGGGATCGACTGCTGCTTTATATCGGTATCATTGACATTCTACAGTCTTATAGGTGAGAATCTCTTGGGTAGCTAGGACACAGAAATGGATCCTAGGTTTTGCAGTTGAGGAGGGATGAGTGTTTAGGGTTAAATATCCCCTTTCCAGTCAGATAAGTTAGCCTTGCTTCCAAGATATCTCCTGATTAAGACTCATAGGTTTCAGGACATCTGCTTGTTATGCAAGATTTCAGATGAGAGGCTTCATTTCCTCCCCCAATTCACACATACCTTCTGGTAGAAAGCTAAGTCAGCCCTAAGACCATCTGTCTGCTATTGCTTTACATGGCATGAGTCACGCTCCACTGCAGGCTGTAGCTGGAAGTTACTTCTCTTCCTTTCTTACTTTCCCAGTAGGGAAAAACAAGGGAGTTTCTATAATTGGGCCGAGAGCCCTAGCTTCTGGCCCCAGTGAACAGAGATGAGGAGCATCTGCTGCAACCCAGAGTTCCTCTCTCCCTTTTCCCCTGGGAGGCCCTTGCATTTGAAAATGATGAACATCTACATAACAAGTCTTCAGTATTTGTTGATTTTTTTCATGAAGAAAAGATCACCTGTCTTTAGATCCTTTTATCACCACAACAAACCAAAATCTGATTCACACTATTACCTTGGCCTGGATAACTGCCTCATTCCTCACATAGATTTTTTGTTTTTTTGCATTCTCAGATAGTTATCTGATCTCATCCATGTGCATGTTCCGTCCAGCAATGCAGATTTCAGCTCATCCATACCTTCCCATCCTGGCTGACACTTCTTCATGTCCTTTCCTATGTTCGCCACAGAGCTTCCACCTAACACGTGTTGCCCTCATTACTTTCTCTTGCCATAGCAGCGGACACAGGCAGTCCATGGCGGGGAGGTCCCTTGCTGTAGCTGTGTGACCCGCCCATCTCCTTTTTTGATCATGCATTTATTTGATGGCATCTTTACTGAAGTTCCTGTTGTGGTTCCTTACTTGTTTTGTGTAGCAGCCTGTGTGTGATCTCCATAGTTCTTTGCTTTTTAAGTCTTTGGAGACTGTATAGTTTTCTATGAATCGCAGCCATACAATGCCACCAGTAAAACATTAGTGTTAAAAAGATGGGCCTTTGTTTCTGGGGGAAGTTTGGTGTTACTGAAAGAGCGTGGCAATTTCTGAAAGACTCTGCAGCCTGCCCTCCTCCTTCCATATCATTGTGGCCCCAGCGCATTGCCCATTTGCAATTGTCCAGTTGAATCTCTCAATTCTCAAGAGAATTAAGTTTGGATGACTTTGTTCTCCTAGCCACCATTTACCCACCTTTGCAGAACAAATAATAATTATTTTTTTTAATGAGTCCATGACTTTCAGGATGTCTTTGCACTAATAACTCTTTCACAGGTTCATGAAGAAGCTGGAACATTCATGGAAAGCTCTGGTCCATGATGGGGTAAGTGGGTTGTTTTTACCTGACTCTTCACCTCTCTGTCCTGCATTTCCCTGCTCAATTTTCTCTATAATGAAATGGGTAGAGTTGACTTTGAGTTTGAGAAGCCCTGGCTTCAATTTCTACCTCTGAAACATTGGCTATGTCACTTAGCCCCTCTGGGTTTGTTTCCTTTTCTGTAATGAGAAGAGACTAGACTCACTGACTGAGATTTCCCAGTTCTGAATTTATGACCCTGTGGTCTTGTGACATGCTGGCCTTTGAACTTGGGCAGGTCACTTAATTTCTCAGTGCTCCAGGCACCTCCGTCTGGCTCTGTTTCAGAGAAGATTACAACCTGTGCTAGTGGAGAAATTCCCTCTACTGTTAAAATCACCAGTCCAGCCTCTCTCCCTATTCCCTCTTCCACCTTCTGTAGGTCCTTGGCTCAGGGGCACATGGCATTTAGTATTGGGGAGGGGTCCTCTTTCTCAGAGCCCTTTCCCAAACCTGTTCTACTCCACAGGACACGGTGTCAGTGCATAGGCCGGGTTTCTATGCCGAGCGTTTCCATCGATTCATGTGCCATACAGTATTCAAGAAAATTCCCTGTAAGTGGTTCTTCCCTGATGACCCAATCCCATCACTGTCCCTATACATTGTGCCACTGAGGTGAGGGGCATTTGGGAGGGCTGGGGGAATTAGAGCGTACAGCCATGTGGCAACCATGGCAACCATGCCAACCACTGGGTCCGACAGCCAACTAGATAAGGAACATTAACACACATTTCCTATCTTGGGGTGGGGGTTTCTTTGTCTCCTGTCCCAGGCCATGCTCAGAGTAATTACTGTGACATAAACTTACTGTAGCCTATATCATCCCACCAGGGACTCTACTTTTTTTCCCTCTCAGCAGCAAAAGTAGACTAGTTTATCCTGGCCTCCATGTTTTAAAGCCCTCTAGGCTTTAGGCCCTTTCCATGCTTCTGTTTGACCTTTCGATACTAAGCCCACCAAAGCTCCCTCAAGAGGGCCTCAGGGACCTAGGAATTTTATGCAACTCTACCAAATAATCAGGTCTTCGCTTAATTACTGTTTATTGAACAAAATTGCCTGGCATGGTGCTAAAGAAATCAAAGAAAGCCTCTTCTTTCAAGAGGGACATAAGCTTGAAAGAACAAACACAAAAATAAAGCCTTAATAGAATTTTTAAGACAATATACCAAAAAATGCAAGTAATACTCAATGACAATTTAAGGGGCTAAAAGGATAATCATTTTCAAGCCTTCTTGAATAAGGGAAATTTGGAGGGGAGGACTTGGGTTTGAGGGACAGTAAGGGGGTGGGTGATGGAGTTAAGATACAAAGGTTATTTCATATTAGGGCTGAGGAGAAGATACATCTCCCTTACCTTTTGTTACCCATTTTCTTCCTCAATGGAGCATACTACTGAGGGACCCCAGATAATGATGTATTCCCTCTACAAGTTAAACTTGCTCTCCCTTTTTCAAGGGATGGGGAGGTGGGGAAAGAGAAGTAAGGTACTTTATACGTTTTTTTTTTTTAATCTTGGTGTTGATCTCTATGTTGAGTACTAAGCCGCTCTCTCTCTCCCTTTTGAAGTGAAGCTCTCTCCTTCCAAAAAGAGTCGGATCAGTTCATCCCTTCGTCGCATGGGCCCAGGTGGAAACTCTCTCTCCCCTTCCCAACTGACAGTCCCTGTCTCTGGAGATAACAAAGCAGAAATGACAACACAGGTGGAAGTAGAACCAGGTTAGCACCATGTGTGGCCACCATATGTCGTTAGGAACCTCCTTTCCCTCTCTTCCCCAACATCTTTCAGATTGGGACGCCTGTAATCTTAGAGATTCTATGAGACACTACCACATTCTTGACTCCTGCTGACCCAGTGGGACACTGAGTTCCTGTAGAGTTTTCCTCTTTTTCCTCACTGGTTCGTATTTCATCTTTCATCTTCTAGGTGTCTACTTTCACCGCCCTGATTTACTCCCCCGAACTCCACCAGTGGACGAGACCAATAGTGACTCTGCTGCCACCACCCTTTCTACCTCTCCAGGCAGTGAGAAATTCAACACACCAGCTAACAGGTTTGTTCCTCAGCCCTCTCTTCCAAAGGTCTCTCATTCCTTTCTCCAACTCTCTGTACTCTTCTGGGAAGGCAGTACTTGACCCCTTGTGACCCTCAGAGGTCATGGTCTGTCCTCTGCTCTCCACTTAGGTTCATGGGTGTGCAGGTTCACCTTCCTGTGGGCTCAAGCTCAGAGATCCTGAGAAGGGCGAGAAACCTCAGTCTTGATAGGTGAGGGGAGGGGTGAGCCCCTACCCTGGGCCTTGGCCTTGGGCATGGTCCCTTTGTGCTAATATGTCTGCTTATTCCTCTTCCTGACCACTCTGATCTTGAAGCTGAGCTCCCTAGCTCCACTCTCCAAACCTTTTTTCATCCAAAAACCTTCAGAGTGAGACCCTTTTTTGCCCCTGCCACAAAGTAGTTTGGCCTGTGAGGGACAGTGTTGTCAGCCTTGTACAGGGGTCCAGAATGAGGATGCTGGTGCAATTTATGTTACTGTTGAAGGAGCAGAGAACCACAATAGGTGGCGAGAAAATATTGTTTTAGTTTGAGCAAAATAGCAGTCCCTAACTTAGCTTTTCCTTAACTTCTTCCACCTGATGCTCACAAGTGATAACATTGAAATAACTTGGAGGGGTAGGGGGAGTAGGGCAGTCAGGAGGAAGGATAATGAGGCCTGAGCAGGGACAACCCCTTGCCCCATCTGACTTCTCTCCCCTAACACTTTTCCTCCCACAGTTCACCTCCCTCAGAAAGAATTGACGCTGTCGAGTCAGAATTCAGCTGTGTGAGTGACTGGGATTTGGGGAGGTTGGTGTCCTAAGGCACAAGAGGCTTATTATTGAGGTGGGGAGGAGCTGGTTGTACTGTTGATTGCCATGATCCCTTCCCCCTTTGTGATTCAGTGTTATGGCCCAAATTGGGTGGAGAGAGCCTTTGTTTCTGCCACCCAGGCTGAAATGAACTTATTATTATTATGAAATTATTCCAAAGCTCTGATTCTCTTCTACTCTTTTCTCCTTCCCCACAATTTTACTCATTTTTTCTTTCCCTCTCCAGTGAGAAAAAACCCAACAGAGGACCTGGCACTTGGAATTAGATTCTTCCATCATTGTGGTCCCAAGGTGTCAGCCCCAATCCCAGCGCTGCTGAGCTCCCCCTTTCCTGGCTATTGAAAAGGAGAATAGTAGAGTCTGGGAGAACCTTCTCCCCAAACTCCTGAAGAGGAGCCTCTTCCCCACCCCCAGGATGGGCATTAATTAGTGCCTTAGGCAGTCCGGCAGTGTCATTGTGTGGAGAGCATCCCGGATCCCAAGTTGAGTGGCCCCCATTCTGCACTTCCTGCTCAGCTTCCAGAGTTGACTTTAGGACTGTGCCCTCTCCAAAACTGAAAGTAGGGCTGGTGGACTATGCGGTTCTCTTCCGCCTTCCTTGCCTCTTTTTTAGCAGCTGGACTCTGTTCTTTTGCAGCAGGCTGGCTGACCGCCCCAACTGCGGCTCTCTCCTTGCCTTCAGGAGGGGAGGTTCTCTGTAACTTTGCTAAAGGTTTTTTGGAAAGTAGGGGTGTTCCTACCCCCTCCTTGGCTTGGGTTTTCAGAAGCTCCTCACACTCCCTCCCCTTTTCTTTTTTAAAAAAAGATTTCAAGCCAATTTCAGAACAAGAAGTTGGACCCTGGCCACCTCAGAGGCCTCAAGCAGTGAGATGTTCGGGGGAAGGAGTGCGGGCTCCCCATAAAGAGGAGAAAGGCTGGTAAAGCACATGTCAGTGACAACTATGACTCCAGGAGAATCCTCTTTGCATCACATTATGAGTTTCTCCTGTCTCAAGAATCTGAGATACGAGACAAGGGCCTATACATCGATAAACACAATACTCACTTGGAGTGGCCGTGGGATAAGTCAGAGATCTTCTGACCAGGATCCCTGCTGACTGTCAGGCCACACTGATTATTACTCTCTGCGATTTGAAATATTTTCTGGTTGTTTTCCTGAATATAAAGACTTATCAAGTGAATCTTGTATCCTTCTTCAAAGGATTTCCCTCCTTGCTCTTTCTTACCTGTTGCAACAGTGTCTTGTCTGGGGAACTGGGTCAGGAGGGTGGACAGCTTTACGTATGTAACAGGCAGTCCTCAATGGTGAGACAGAGGAATGTAACGTCTCTGGAATCTGTTCTTGAGTCATTTGACTTGTGCAGTGGTGCCATCCCTGCATCCTCAAGTGAAGAGAGATTGGGGAGAAGGTACTTTAGACCACTGTTCCCCAATGACAAGGAGTAAAAGTCTCCACCTTGCCACTCTGGTCTTGTGGGAATAATGGGGGCTGGAGTCTCAGGCAGACTGTTGAATCCCCATTCCCCTTTTCCCCTTCTTTCCCCCTATCAGGTTAGTCTGTACCCAAGTAACTGTCTATATTAGACACCCCGACCCCCACCTGAAGCCAGTTTCTGGCCTTCTGTCTTTGCTGCCATTTTTTAAATAAGAAGGAAACAGAATTCTTGCTATTTTTTTCATGATTTACTATTTATGAAGTATTTAAGTGTTTTATTCAGGGCAGAGTTATTCTCTAGGGGGTGGGAGGGAAACAGAATATTGGAGAGAGGTCTGGGTCTCTGTATGGCAGGTGGAATTAGAAGGGAAGGGGACTCAACATTTCTATGAAGCGTCACTATCTGCCTCTACTTTGTATTGTTCAAAAATGGCAAATGCATTATAAAATGATGAGTACCTGGTTTTAATGTATTAAAACTTTTCTCAATTATTTTAATCCCTTTTAAAAAGCTTTTTGTCGTTTTCCTTTCTGGTTCTCTTTTACCACTCTCTCTTCCACACACTTCATTCAGGTGACCCCAAACCGTTGCCTTCCTTCTGTTGCCCTGAGACTTAATCCGCCCTATCCACGTCCCCTTTTCCTAGCCTTAGCTGATTTCCAAACTTCTGGTAGAAGCTGCATTAACCTTGTATTCCATGCCCCATTTTATGTCAGGACACAGGTATGTGGGATGGATAGGTGGAGGGCGGAAAGTTTACCTCACTAATGCTTGGGTTTCAAATGTTGTAATACGGTCTGGCCTTTTCCAAGCTTCTTGTCCTGAATGGTGTCCCTTCTCAGTCCAGTTTTCCTTTCCAAGGTATTCAAAGCATCTTCCTGTGCTGTGCTGAATTTGAGCTCTCACTACCTGCTTCGAATAGAACAGGTAGAGTAAAAGGAAAAAGGTGAGTTCCTTTTAACCTGTCCTTGGGATTGAATGAGCCAGGTTGAAAGCCACCACTTTCTTCTCTACAACACCCTTCAACAAATATTGAACACCTAATTGTTCGTCCTTCCTTCTTGAAGAGGACCATGACATCAGGAAGGTGATGCCATGACTTGTAAGTGAATTAGATTTAAGTGAGGGAGGGCTGTGCAAAGTAACTAGTCTCACTTTCTTTGGAGCCATGTGGGGTCCAGTGGCAAGATATACTTCAGGATGACTGGAGATGGTCCTGAAGGCAGTGGGAGACCATGGCCTTTTAAGGCTAAGGTCTTTCTCAGGTCTCAGTTTGACTGATGCAATGCCCATTCGTTGATTAAGACTAGGTAAGAAATGAGGCAAAGAGTGACCTCTTTTACCAAGTTAAAAAAAAAATTATTTACACACACACATACACAAAATCTGGGAGGAGAAGACCATCAGGGTTTCTGGCCAAAACAAAAACAATTGCTGTTTACACTCAGAGCAATCAGGGACCGTGAGGGCTTGGACTGGGACCTATTGTTGGCCAATCAATGAGAACCAGAGTGATTTGGGTAAGATGTGGTCCATAAGAAAGAAAGCTAGCCTGTAAACCCCAAGATACCTTGTAAGGTTTCAGCGATCAAGATTTACATTCCTTTGGGCAGAACACCTCACAGTTAAGGGCATGATAACCCCTGTGGACAGAGGGAGAGGAAACAAGAGGAAAGGAGGAAGGAAAGAGCTGCGTTACCCAACTGGCACTGGCTGGTTGGGTCCCCAGTGGGGCAGCTCATGCTACTCGCAGGTTGTTGTTTGTCCTTCGTTCTGAAGAGTTCCATGACTTCAGAAAAGTGATGTCATGACTTAACAAGTGAATTGGATTTAAGTGAGGAAGGGTTATGCAAAATCACCAGCCTCACTTTCTCCTCCGGAGCCATCTGGATCCAGTGGCAAGATATAAATCAGGACAATTGGAGATGGTCCAAAAGATAGGGTAAGAATTGAGGCAAAAGTTGGGCCAGTTTGCCTTCTCAAAAGAGTCAGTCTGGGAGGGGAGGACATAACTAATGTATGCATAATACACATGACTTCAAAAACTTTACAATCTAATTGGGAAGCAAAAGATAGACAAAAATTAACTTTTAATTGAGAAGGCAGTTTTTAAGTGCCCGAATGTCACTATTATGCACTTAGACACTATTGTTAATACAAAATGTTTGTTAGGACTTGATACAAAGGTAAGGTCTCTAGTTAGGGAAGTAGTATGGCAGAGGTAGATGGGAACTGGGTCTTGACAGACAACTAAAGTTTGAAGGTGAAGGGGTACCCCGAGGGTAGGTATTCAGAGGGAACAATAAATGTGGCACAGAAGAGGCTGATTGGATGACTTGGAAAGGCAAGCCAGATTATTATGGGCCTTCATGCCAAGCTGAGAAGTTTGGACTTCATCCCGTAGACAGTGGGAAAGCTTTTGAGAAGGGAAAGAGATGTTCAAAGTGACACGAGGACACAAGGCTCAGGGGAGGAGATAACAGTCCAGGATACCTTCATTCAGTGATTTAAGGTTTGCTGAGAACTTCGCTTACAACCCCATAAAGTGATTGGTATATTGTCTTCATTTTACAAATTGGGAACTGGTGCCCTAAGAAGTTAAGTCATTTGCTTCATAGGCACACATCCAGTGGGGGGAGGGATTCAAAACCAGGGTTCCCAACTCTCAAGTCCATTGTCCCTCCTGCTACCCTTCACTGCTTTTCAGGAGGGTGTTGCTGTGAAATTCAGGTGAGAAGTGATCAAGGCTTGAGGTGGTGTGGTAACGTTGGTAATGGAAATGAAGGAAGATTCCAAAAGGATTTGGAGAAGAGGCCACTGACTGGGAGATGGTAACTGAGACACTTACTAGGCATGTGTTCCTGGGCAAGTCACGTAACTCCCCAAGCTTTAGTGTTTTTCATATTAAATTGAGATGATGTATAAATGTCAATTAATTGTTTTTCTTGGTGCAGTGGCAAGGCCACTAAATTTGGATTTGGAGGACTTGGGTTAGACTGTCCAGCTCGGCCACTTACCACCTGTGTGACCCCAGGCAAATCTTTGTTTTTATACTTCAGTTTTCCTCTTTTTATGGGTAAAGAATGAGTCTCAACGGTTCAAAACCTCTATTCTTTTCACTACTGCCCGCCAAAGATGACTTGTGAATTCAGGCTCCAGCCCCTCTGATTAGCTAAGGAGAACAATTTTTCACTCTAAACAAATTAGGCTGAGGAAGTGCCCTACTTTCTTCAATGACTTTGACCTTGGGTTCCTTTTGTCAGGTTGCTCATTACACTGAAGGGGCTGCTTAGGTGGGGTTTGGCCAACTCTAGGGGCTTTCTGCCTTGTGTCAGAGGAGCCCTCCAGTGGTCAGCAGTAGTACATGCTGTTTATTTGGCTGTCATTCACAGTGCTGTCTGTGCAAAGGACCAAGTCCTAACATGCAATCTTGGGACTGATAAGCATGTGTCAAAATAAGGAAAATTAATACAAATCATGAAGATAAAAGAGTGGGAAGCCTTTGAAAGATCATCTTGCTTTTACAATGGAGGCTTTACAACTTTTCCAGTGTTTTGTATCTAAATTCTTATATCCAACAAAAATTCTTCCTGAATTGACTTAAATCCATTTCCTTTTCAATTTTTCAAGGACAGAAAACAACTTCTCATCCTCATGAAAATCCCAAAGCAGTATGTATTTCATTATACTTTGGGTTTCTACTCCCAATGAAGACAATAGTCACCCTTTAGACTTCTCTAGGTTATTTTATTATGAACTTATTTTCTATCTCTTTATATTTTGATCTTGTTTTTATTGTTTTTTATTCTGTTTTTTACATCCTCTTCATTTTTTAATTGATCCTTTCCTCTCCTCTGCCTGTCATCCTTGGTAACAAAGATTTAAAAGGAAAGAATGGGACAAAAGCTACTCTGCAAAAGAAACCAATACAGTAATAATTCCCGACAAGTATATAACATTCCACAACCAGTCACCCCAACCCTTCAAAGAGAAGAGGAATGTGTGTTTTCTCAACACTTCACTTGAGTGAAGTGAGCAGGAAGAGAATGATGAATACTGTTCAGAAGGAGAGAAATACCGTTCATAGCAACGATTTTGTAAAAACAAACAACTTTGAAACAGTTAAGAACTCTTGATCAAGTCAATGATCAGCCACAATTCCCAGTGGATCCTCGATGAAATATACTTTCCACATCCTGACAGGAAAGTGGTGGATTTGGAGTGTAGATTGAGACACGTGTTTGGATATGTCAGTGTGGAAATTTGTTCTGCTTGATATTTGTCACAAGGGGTTTTTCTCCCTTTCTTTTTCAGGGGGATGGTGATGAGAGGGATAGAAGGTGGACTATGGTTAACTGAAAAAATAAAATTTAATTAAAAAAAAACCTCTAGGGTCAAGTTTGGCGATTTATAATTCCACAGTATTAACTTTTGTTGTCTGTCCCTTTGTATATTATTTGTAAATGTTATTTTCCTGGTTTTCCTTACTTTACTGTCAGTTCATAAGTTTTCCCATGCTTCTCTGAATTCTTCATATTTGTAGTTTTTAATGATGTAGTAATTACATTCATATGTCAGTTTATTTAAACATTCATTTCCCTGATTCATCTCTGATTTAGCCTTGGGAAGAAACTAGGTGGGGTAGTGGATTGTGCTGGACTTGGAGTCTGGAAGACCCTGTTCAAATCCTGCCTCAGGCTGTGTGGCTCTGGACAAATCACTCAACTCTTCTCAGGCTCATTTGTAAAATGGGGCTGATAATAGCAGGTGTCTCAGGTTTCTTCTTTTTTTTTTTTTTTTATTTTTTTTGGGGGGGGGGGGGGGGTTAAGTGACTTGTCCAGGGTCACACAGCTAGTAAGTGTCAAGTGTTTGGTCTGAGGCCAGATTTGAACTCAGGTCCTCCTGACTTCAGGGCTGGTGCTGTATCCACTGTGCCACCTAGCTGCCCTCTCTTTTTTTTTTTTTTAAATCAGTTTTTTTCTAATGATCAAATGAGACCTATCTAAAGCTCTTTGAAAACCTTAAAATGCTATGTAAATGGAGGCAGCTAAGTGATGTAGTGGATCCCCTGGGCCAGGAGTCAAGGAGCCCTGAATTCAGATTTGACCTTGACACTAGCTGTGGGCAAGTCACTTAACCCCTGTTTGCCTCACTTAGCTCAACTTTAAAATGTGGACAATAATAGCTTCTACCTTTCAGGGTTGTTGTAAGTATCAAATGAAATAATAGAAACTTGATTAGCGCAGTGCCTGGCACATAATAGGTGTTATAATGGGGCAGCTAGGTGGTGCAGTGGATAGAGCACTGGCCCTAGAGTTAGGAGGACCTGAGTTCAAATCCAGTCTCTGACAAGACACTTGACACTTACTAGCTGTGTGACCCCGGGCAAGTGACTTTACCCCGATTGCCTCACAAAAACAAAACAAAACATAGTAGGTGTTACATAAGTGCTTATTTTCTTCCTCCCTCTCCCCTGAAAGCTAGCTATTATTAGTAATAGTAATTCTAGTAGGGGAGCTAGTGATATGCCCTTGACTAAACAATAGTATGCCGCCTCCACAAAGTCCTTTGATGCCTCATCATGGCATGAAGGTTCTCAAAAACCATCAATACCTCTGGCAGATTCTACCGCAGTAGAATGATTTCAAAGATTGCCCTAGTAATAGATTGTGTTCCAAGGACCAAGTGGATAGGCTGTCATGAGTCTTTAGCAATAGTTTTTTGACTATGGCTGTGCATTAAAGAAATAAATGAATAAGTAAGTAAATGAATGATAACTAACATTTATATATTGCTTTACATGTTCTCTCATTTGATTCTCAGATTAACCCTGTATGGTTGGTTGGTTGGTTTCCTTCAGTCTTGAAGAGGACCAAAATGACATCACTATATTGGAGTCAAAGTGGTATGTCCAGCTGACTGATCAGAATAATATGAACTTGGAAAGCTCTACCACACATTGGACACAAAGAGTCCACGTGAACATTTGGGGTGGAGATGTCTCTGAATTTGCACATCTCACATTTCTTTGAGCTACTGCAATTCTGCTTCACTCATTAAGCACAGAGCCTTCTTCGATGTGGGCACAACAATCTGAGTGGTCCTTTGCCAGTGTCTTCCATGTCACACAATTGATTCCAGAGTCCTTAAGAGACCTTGAGAGTATCCCTGTATGGCTTCTTCTAACCACCACGTGAGCACTTGCCTTGTGTGAGTTTTCCTTAAAATAGTCTTTTAATCAAATGTACATTTGGCACCCGATTCTCACTGACTTGGCCAATAATAGGTCCCAGCCCAAGCCGCACTTGCTCATTGTTTGGCTTTTGATTGGCTCAGACTGAGTGTAAATAGCAATTGTTTCTGTTCTGGCAAGAAACTCTTTGTGTCTTACCCTCCCAGATTGATTCTTTTTCAAAAAAGAAATGAAGGCAAACTAGGTTATCTTTTGCCTCAGTTCTTCTTTTTTTGGTGAGGCAGTTGGGGTTAAGTGACTTGCCCAGAGTCACACAGCTAGTGAGTGTTTCGTGTCTGAGGCCAGATTTGAGTTGGGTCCTCCTGACTCCAGGGCTGGCTCAATTCTTAACCTAGCCTTTAATTACTGAATGAGACTTGCCTCAGATAAACAGATCTGGGAAGACCTTAGCTTCAAAAGACCAAGGTCTCCCACTGCATCCAGGGCCATGGCCAGCCATCTTGACCTATGTCTTACCATTGGACTCTGAATGACTCAGGAGGAGAGAGTGAAACTGACGACTTTGCACAGCCCTGCCTCACTTAAATCCAGTTCACTTGCAAGTCAAGACATGGCCCTCCTGATGTCATTGGTCCTCTTCCAGAATGAAGGACGAACAACAACATTTGGCATTCAAACAACGTGCCCAGCCCATCAGAGTTGCTCTCTCTACAGTAGAGTTTGAATGCTTGGCAGTTCAGCTCAAGAAAGGACCTCAGTGTCCAGTACCTTATCTTACCAGGTGATCTTCAGAATCTTCTGGAGGCAATTCCAGTGATTCAGTTTCCTAGCATGGTGCAGGCAGATTGTCTGGGTTTCACGAACATACAACAATGACATCAGCACGATGGTTCTGTCAGTTTGGTTTTTTTTTAGCGAGGCAATCGGGTTTAAGTGACTTGCCTAAGGTCACACAGCTAGTACGTGTCAAGTGTTTGGTCTGAGGCCGGAGTCCTTCAGTTTAGCACGTAGCCTAATATCTTTTCTCACACACTTTTCTTTGGAGCCTCCTAAACATTGAGCTAGCTCTGTCAATGTGAGTGTCAGCCTCATCATCTTTGTATACATAGTATACTGCCAGGAAAAGTGAGCTTATCCACTGCATTCAGTATTTCTCCATTTGCTCCAACTGATGGTTCCACAGATGGATTGCTGTGGTGCTGGATTTTCTTGATGTTAATTATTGGGCCAAAATTAGCACAAGCAGCAGAGAATTGATCCATACTTTGTTACATCTTAGCCTCAGAGGCTGCATTGATCCTCAGACTAACCTTGTGAGCTAGGTACTATTATCATCATTTTACAGATGAGAAAACAGGATGAGAGAGGTTAGGTGATCTGGCCCAGGTCACACAGCTAGTGTTTTCAGTAGAATTCAAACTCATGTTTTCTAGACTTCAAGTCTAACACTGTACCTGTCTAGATAAAAGCCATCCTAACCAAAATTAATATTCAAGAGTTGCACAGTATTGGGTAATCAATAAATAATTATTAAGTGCCTATGTGCCATGCACCGTGCTAAGTGCTGTGGCTACAAATATGAAAAAAGACAATCACTACCCTCAAGGAATTTACAACCTAGTTGAGGAAGACAAAACAAAAGGAAGCTGAAAAAGGTGAGGAGAGGAGAAGATAGTAGAGGGACGGTGGAAAAGTCAGAGGAGTCCCAAAGTAATGCAGCCAAGTACGAAATGAGAGGCATGGGCTGAACTCTCTCCTTAAATGGAGGTTTGGAGTTCATACCTCCACTTTCCAATCCCAGAGGCAAAGGCTAGTGAAGAAATGGCGTCCCAAGGCTGATGAGATCTTACAGGATGATGAGATTAGCCCAAGAATAGGCCTACTGGGGCATGAGGAAGTCAAAGAAATCCAGAAGTACAGCAGCCAGGTGAGAAAAGAGCAGGGTAGGTGTAAATGTCGATTTACTTGCTTGGAAGGACCATGCCCATTGGTGATATAACAGAAACCTTTGACTATTTCTTTTAGCCACTCTCTAGACTTTTAAAAATATAGCAAAAACTAGACACATGATCTAATTAGGATCTGACCAAGGCATAGTGTAATGAAGAGATGTCATTGCCTTTTTAGTGCATTTATGTACTACAATTATCTTTTTTCAGATTTTTCAATAATGTTGCTAACGACTTCTGAGCAATTATAATCTCTGGTTTGTTTTTTTAAACTATACGTGTACCTATCAATGTGCGTTGTAGTGTATTTGTATTTGTCAGAGGTTTTGCCTTTGTCTCTACTGAGTTCATCTTTACGTAGAGCAACTTTTCTCATTTATCAAGATGATTTTGTATTTTATTCTTGATTCATAAACTCCATTATGAAAAAAATCTTCGAGGGCGAAGAATTATTTTTCTTCTTCGAGCTTTGAGGGTGAAGAATTTGAAGGAGGGTGCCTGCAGCACTGCGGAATGTGGGAAGGGGGGTCGGAACTCGCTCATTTAATTTTCTTAGCCTGAAACCAGCTCCATCTATTGTTTGGTCAGGATTAGGGTGGGGAAGAAGACCGAATCATTTGGGGCATCCCAAGGGAGATTATAACCTAGTCACCTATTTAAAAATATAGGTATAGGCTTGGAAAGGTGTCGGATTTCTAGGGCACAATGTTGCATCAAGAGGTGGGTACTGTATCGATATTTTTGCCATTTTCCTTCGCTAAAAGGAAAAGTTTCACTATGAAGGCGAGAGGGGCATTTTTAGAAATGACTGATGCAAAAATAAAAGGTATAGAAAAAATGTATTTTTTTTAACAGAAGGCCACATCCATCTGTTATCCTCTCTTCCCTTTCCGATTTTTTTCTCTCTATGAAGCACATCCAGTTCGTAAAAGCGGGGCAAACCGTAGGGCTTTGAGCAGGTGCCTACAAGCAAGGTCAGGCTTCGAAACTGCAACCTCCCTAGAGAGCTAGCTTCGGAGCTCTGGGTTCCAGTCCAGTGACACATGCTGGCTGTATGACCCTGGGCAAGTTACTTAAGGTCTCTGTGCCCTTGGCAGGGTGCTGACCTGCATTGGCAGAGGGAATTCCCCACACCAACGAAATGCCACGTCCAGTTCCCATCCCTTGTCTTCTGAACCGTCCACTACAACGCAACTAGCCACGAGAGGGCGAGGAAGAGCCCTTCTCCCGTCTCCCGGTTTTTGGTTACGTCACGAGCCTCGCTCTGCCCCCTCCCACTCCTGGCCTACAACTCCCAGAGAGCCCCGCGGCTCTCTGTGTAGCGCAAGCGCCTGACCCAGATAGGGCCCTGGGATTGGAGGGGCGGGTTAAGCCAATAGGATAAAGCATTGTTGAGTAGTTCAGACGAGCCGGTCCGGGAGGGAGGAAAGAGGCAAGATGGTGTTGGAAAGCACTATGGTGTGGTAAGAGACCGGGTCGGGGGCGACGAGAGGGAGCGGGGCCGGGCGGGGAGCGTGAGGAGCCGCCGCGGTCGCCACCCGGGAGCGGGCACGAGGGAGCTGCGGCTCGTGCCGCGGCGGCGGCCCCGGCGGCGGCGGCCCCGGGCGGATTTCCTGAGTCATCCCGGGGCTGGGGAAGGCAGGCTGGAGGGGGCGGGAGATGCCGGCCCGGGGCCCATCGCGGCACTGCCCGTGCCGCCCTCCAGCTGAGCCTGGGCCCCCTCCCCGGGCCTCCCTTCCCCGCTTCCCGTGGCTGCTCGGGCCGCAGCCCCGCTCCTGCTCTCGGGGGGCCGTGCACACAGAGGCCGGAGGCGCCGTCCCTGCCCCGGAGCCTTGTCACTTGCTTGCAGGGACGTCTGCCCCCGGAACGCTGGCCCAGTGCCGAGTGGCGCTTAACTGTGGTGGCCGGAGCAGGGACGGCCGAGCCAGAGTTTGGATTCGATTATGAATTCACATAGGGTGACCAGTCTGGGAAAAGCCTCCCTGAGGAGGCAGGTCTTAGAGGATGAAGAGGAGGGAGGGCTTTGCAAAAAGAGGACCCAGCATGATGAGGCGGTGCCAGAGATCGAGAAGAAAGGTCTTATGGTTCTATTGGCCATTCAAGGCTCCTCTTAGCCTAGCCCCCTGCGACCTTTCCAGCCTCCTTACATCTCACTCACCAAAAGGTATTCTTCGGTCCAGTGACACTCTATCTCTTGGCATTTCCTCTGGCAGTATCCCATACCTGGGAGTGCTGTAGCCTCCTGGCCTGAAGTCCCAACTAAAATCCTACCTTCTGTTAACCCCTTTCAATTCCACTGCCTTTCCCTTGTTAATTCTTTCCTATTTATCCTCTATGTAGCTTGCTTTGTATATATTTCTTTGTATATTGTCTTTCTGGTTAGATTGTAAGCTCCTTGAAGGCAGGGACTATTTTGTGCCTCCTTTTGTATCCCTGATGCTTAATCAGCACATAGTAGGCGCTTTAACAAATGTTTATTGAGTTGAATTATAGGATGAGGAGAGCTTGGGGAAGAAGGAGGACCTGGCATGAGCAAAGAGCTGCCAAAGTTAACGTTGTCTTCAAGGAACAAAATAGATCGAGTGGAGGAGTATGGTAGATTCCTGTTGGGGGTGATAAGAGTAATAGTAAAAAGTGAAGAAGGGTCCAGATTGCAAAAGGTCTTGGTTGCCTGAGTAAAGAGTTTAGACTTTATCTTATAGGTAATATGAAATCATTGGTTTGAAGGTACTTGACCAAAATGAAATGATAGTGCAAGGTAGCTTTTTAGGAAGATTAATATAGTAGCAGTTTGGATGTATTGGAGAAGGGAAAGATTTGCAGCAACAAGACAGTTCACTTCAGTGATTGTGGGCTTAAGAGTGGTTTTAACAGGAATGTAAAGGAAGGGACAGATGTGAGAAACTTAAAGAATCTAACATGACAGTGAAGGTCAGGAGAGTCAAAGATGGCTTTGAGCCTCAATAACTCAAGGTAATTGACATAAATAGGAAAGTTCAGCTTTGTATGTTGGATTTTGAGGAAAGATGATGAGTTTAGTTTCACACATCTATAGCTTGAGATGCTACAGGTCTCTCCTGGTACAGATTTCCAGTAGGTGCAGAAATAAAAGGAGAGAGATGTCGTTTGGTCAAAAATATGTATTTAATATCTACTGTGTAACTGTAGGAAAACATTTTAAAAACTAGAATCTAGCCTCTACCTGAAAGAGATTACAAGCTAATTTTGTATAAGGTTAAACCTATCCTCTCATGCTGTGGCTTTCTTGAAGATGGGGAATGTTTCTGTCTTCACTATTTTATTGAGCCCCTTGCCTCATTTGACTGTATCTTTTCCATCCCTTCTCCATATATTGACTTTGTTCACAGTTCAGTATTTTCCTTGTATTTCGTAACCATTTGGACTGTTCCCAAAGCTTTTGTTTCTCCTTTCAAGGAATTTGGATTCAGATTAATCCTGGAAGCTAGAGAAAGAACTCTTGCTCAAAACACTCCTTACCCTTTTTGTGAGGATATAACTAGTTGGGATCAGTGAGGTCTTAATTATCTCAATGTGACTTAACTGTTTTCTGGATTAGATTTAGCTCATTTTTAATACTGAAATTAAGGATCTGTGAATGGAAGGGGACCTCAGAGGTCATGTATTCCAGCTCATTCTAAACAGGAATTCCCTTTATACCATCTGATAGGGATCCATTCTCTGCTTAGAGATCCCCAGTGATGGAGAGCTCACTATATTCCAAGATAGCCCATTCCATTTTTAGACAGTTCTTAGTGTTAAGAAGTTTTCCTTCTATGAAACCTAAATTAGCCTCTCCAATTTCCTAGTTTTGTCCTTTACTGCCAAAGTAAGGAATTTGGACTTTAGTTTGAAGGTTCTTGACCAAGATGAAATGATAGTGCAAGGTAGCTTTTTAGGAGGATTAATGTAGTAGCAGTTTGGATGTATTGGAGAAGGGAAAGAAAGTCACAGGATTTCAGAACTGGAATGGATCTCTGCTGATATGGTCCAATGGTTCCAAAGTTTTATAATTAAAAAATTTGCAACCTACCCCATGATACTAGTTTTACTGCTATTATGCATTGATTGAGAAAATATATAATGACAAAATGCTACTGAATTCAATAGCTTTCAAATTAATTTGTCTTGTATTAATAACAGCATCTACATACATTTAAAAAAGTTGTAATATATTTGTGAGACATTATATTTGTGAGACATTCATCTACAGAAGGCATATTTAGTTTTTTATTATATTGATGCATTTAATGTGGTGACTGGTACTGTTTTTTAGTTCTTAGAGAAAACTGGTTGAAGTGATAAAAGTTTAAAGCACAGATTTGGTTCCACAGATAGCTTCTTTCAATATTTAGATTTCAGTGCAACACATATAGAAAGTCCACTTTTGTAAATGTATGTTGGAGGAAAAAGTATTTCATAGTCTTACCTGACAGAATTAACATCTAGCCAGAATTCAGCCTCGTAGTTTTGTGTAAAGATTAATTTTAAAGAATTGTCACATGAAAGTTCCTTTAGACTGACTTGTTCTTTTGACATGAGATCTGGGAGTATGGTGTTACTTAACATTCAGTGTAGATTTTTTTAATAAAGTTGTATCTTGAATTAGGAGTGAGAAAGTATTTCCACAGCTGTATTTGCAAGTATGTCCCTGCATTTGCAGGCCCCTTCTAATAACTGAGTAATGCCTTGACACTACAAGGGTCCATAGGTTGGGAATCATTGACTTAGTCTAACTTGAACCTAAACAAGTTATCTTCTTGACAACATCCTTGAGAATTGGTTTTCTAGCCTTTGTTTTAAGACCTCAAGGAAATCCTACTGTCTTCCAACATGGCCCATGATGGCCCTTTAGCTATTTGAAGACAATGATCATAATCTTCGCCTACTCAAATGTCTTTTATCCAGTGAGACCCTTCCTAGCTCCTTTAATCTTGGGTACCTCTCAGATCAATCCTTTTCCTGGGTCTCACAACTTCCCTGTTTCTTCTTTCTTCCGTCTCTTTTCCCTCTGAGGCTTCTTGGCTTTTTCCCCACACCATTAGTTGGTATGTGCTGAGCTAGTAGAAACATTTTACTGTCAGATGAACCACAACATTAGAACTTGTCCTGGACTCACTCAAAGACAAATAGAAATGAATTTTGAATTCTCTTCCTACAGCATCCTTCAGTTAGCTTAGATCATCAAGTGTGGACCACAATCATGTGCATGTTCTACCATGGGCCAAAGCATTTATATCCCTCACTGTGGTCTCTCTGTGGCCCTGGAGGATCAAAAGGGAAAGGATAAGGGGGAGCTTGGAAAACTCACACCTTTCCAACCTAATTTTCATAACTTGATTTGTCTGCCTTGTCTATCCCATCTTTTATCAAAGTTGCTGACCAAACTCCAAGTGACCAAGTGTGGAGAAGGGGCAATAGAACTGGACTTGGAGTAAAGGTCCCCAGTTATGAAAGTGACTAGGATCATAAGATGAGAGCTGGGAGTGGGAGGTGATTTTTTTGGTTTGTTTTTTGTTTTGTTTGTTTGTTCATTTGTTTGTTTTCCGAGACAATTGGGGTAAAGTGACTTGCCCAGGGTCACACAGCTAGTAAGTATTTTGTCTGAGGCCAGATTTGAACTCAGGTCCTCTTGCCTCTAGGGCCAGTGTGGGAGGTGTTTTATAAAGAAGCAAACTCAGGTCCAGAGAGGCTACATGGGGTGTCTAAGGCCACACAAACAGTGGGTGCCAGACACTGGCTATGTGACCATCAGTGAGTCAGGTAACCTCTCAGCCTCAGTTTCCTCTTCAGTAAAATGGGAAGGATAAAACTTATACCTGGTTCACAGGCGTTGTATAGATTTGCTTTATTAATATTTTTTTTTTAGCTAGTTTGTATCTTACTTGTTTGCATTGGTATGTCTGCTGTTTTGCAAATATTCTTAAATTTTGCCTGCCTCTGTGAAGCTTCCCATTTAATGGGAGACATAGAACATTAACAAATCAGAGACTTAAGAATGCCTAGAAAATAGTATTTGCATTAGTATACACTGTATGTCATAGTGCACAGGGGCTTAGGAGATGTTGAAGGATCCCAGGAAGTAAGAAGGGTGATGCCTTAGGATTCAGACTTTCCAGGAACATTGTTCATTCCCCACTCTGTGCTCTGCTCCCACAGCGTTGATAACAGTGAGTACATGCGGAATGGGGATTTTCTGCCTACACGACTACAGGCCCAACAGGATGCAGTCAACATAGTGTGTCACTCCAAGACACGAAGCAACCCCGAGAACAACGTGGGACTCATCACGCTGGCCAAGTACGGAGGTTGGACTTGGTGGGCTGTGGCGTTTTCCCATGAATCAGTCCATTTGTGGATTACCTGAAATGGGCTACACACTCTCGCTTCTCCTGTGTGTAAACATAGAGAATTCTAATTCACTTTAGTAGCCTGCACAAAATAGTAAGATAAACTGGTTAGGGGAAACCCAAGTTATAGTTTATTCCAGAAGCAATTATTGGATTATTTTGGCTTATTGATGTCACTTTGCATTGACCACTGACAAGTGACCATTTCTCCAAACTAATTGTCATAGTGAAAATGGATTTGGAAAAGAGGGCTTAGACAGAGGGTGCAGGATTGAAACAGAAGGGTGGACTACAGGGCCCCCTGCCCAAGAGGATGGGATTTCATTGGGCTGGTTCCCTTCAGAAAGTGGTCCTGTCAGCAAATCTGTACTCATTAACTTCTGTATAGAAAGTCCAATAGTAGTACTTGAGTCCTAAGGGGATAATAAGGGGGAAAAGACAATCTCTGCACCTGGGAAGCTCCCTCTTCAGTGGGAGAGATTGGACACATATGCAGATGAAAAATTTGTATAAATTATAGTAATCCTAAAAGCAAAAGATGATTGGAGCAGTTGGGAGGCATTTATGCTGGCCTGCATTTACTTGAGCTGTCTGTCCCCTTCCTAGTGACTGTGAGGTACTTACTACGCTAACCCCTGACACTGGCCGAATTTTGTCCAAGCTCCACACAGTTCAACCCAAGGGCAAGATTACCTTCTGTATTGGCATTCGAGTTGCCCATGTAAGTGTGACAGACCTTCCTGACTCTGGTTCTACAAGGCTTTCATACTAGTTTTTTTTTTTCCCCTTGGGATAATTTCCTTGTACTCCCCAAATCAAGCAGGAGTATAGAGGTGATCTAGAGATATTTAGCTTTGAGAATGGAAAAGAGGTGAGGTAGAGTCCAAGATTCAGGCAATGTGGGGAGTGGGGAATGACTTTGGAGTAGAAATATCAGCCTTTCCCAATGCCCAGAGCGTAAAAAGGATGCTGGGGTTTAGACCTTGGGGAGATCTGGGACTTGGAAGAAGGAGAAGCAAGGCCAGTGAGATCTCCTTTCCTAGAAACCATAAGAAAGTTCCCCTTCTCTGGGCAGGGGGATGATTCAGTGGGCAGGCAGTGATCCCTGGGCTGTCTCTGAGACTAGGATTCCTTTTCCTCCCACAAGTTGGCTCTGAAACACAGACAAGGCAAGAATCACAAGATGCGTATCATTGCTTTTGTGGGCAGCCCGGTGGAAGACAACGAGAAGGACGTGAGTCTAGCCAGGGGACTGGGACGGGGATCTGGAAGGTCAGAACATTTCTGGGGAAGGGGACATTTGGGACTTTGGACCTTAGTGTGTATCTTAGATGGGAGTGAGGATCTACTTGGATGAGTGGGCCTTCCCCCATGGAGCTGTTCGATGTGTATCTAGATAGTCACATTCCCTCAGGCCTGGAGTGGGGACAGTTAGGATGAGAGCCTGTGTTTGTCTGAAGTGGGGCTCTTGTGGAACAGGCAGTGACTACTAAGAGGCAGTACGGAGTCAGGGGAGGAGGGCAAGGCTTGAAGTGAGGGGACATAGGACCTCATATCCTAGTTTTGAGACTTAGCAGTATGACAGTTAATCCCTCTGAGTCTTAGTTCCTCATTTGTAATATAAGGAAAGTAATTATAGGTAACATTTATAAAAGACTTTAAGGTTATTATAGCACTTTACATTTATTATTTCATTTAGTTAGTAATGTTCAAACTCCCTACCTCACAGGTTGTTTTGGAGAGAGCACTCTGTAAATCTCCAAATGCTGTATGAATGTGAGTTGTTATTATTTATCTTATTTATCTTTCATTTTCCCAACTCTCTTTGTAGCTGGTGAAGCTAGCAAAGCGGCTGAAGAAAGAGAAAGTGAATGTTGACATTATCAACTTTGGGGAGGAGGTAAGTGGGGGGCAATGGGGGACCTGACTTGAACAAACCAACAGGGAAGAATCCCCGTCGGGGTAGTGAAGAGATTCCTTGTTTAGAGCTGCAGGGATGGGAGACAACAGTGGGAAGGACGGTGTTTGCCCAGTGAGATTAGCGATCCCATATTGTTCTTCTCCCCAGGAGGCAAACACAGACAAACTGACAGCCTTCGTGAACACACTGAATGGCAAGGATGGCACCGGTTCGCATCTGGTGACGGTGCCCCCTGGGCCCAGCCTGGCTGATGCCCTCATCAGCTCCCCTATCCTGGCTGGAGAAGGTGGTGCCATGCTGGGGCTCGGGGCTAGCGACTTCGAGTTTGGGGTGGATCCCAGTGCCGATCCTGAACTGGCCCTGGTAAGGGGGAAAGCCCTGATCCCACACAGACCCCCACTGTCCCTCATACTCATACTTCTTGCAGCATCTCTAGGACTCCTAATCATTCATTCAACAAATATTCCTCGTATACCTACTAAGTGCAAGACACTGCTCGTATTTCCATCTCTTGCCCCCACTCTCTTTCTGATTATCCAGTCTTTGGAGGCTCTAATCTCTGGTTACTTCTTTGAGCCAGTTTCCTCTGGTCCTTATAATTTGGCCCCAGACATTCACCTAGTCCCCTTGTCACACCACCCAGTTGTCCTTTTCCCTGGAACACAGACCAGAATCCACTCTTTTATGCTCTTGCTCTAGAGCTCCATGTACTTTTCCTAGAGCCAGAGGAGGTGGGAAACTGACTTCTGCCCTCCCCTCCTTCCCTCAGGCCCTTCGTGTATCCATGGAAGAACAGCGACAGAGGCAAGAGGAGGAGGCCCGACGGGCAGCAGCGGCCTCTGCTGCCGAGGCAGGGATTGCCACAACCGGGACCGAAGGTGGGGGTGAGAGATGGGTACCTAAGGCTGGGTAGCCTGGAGTCTGAGACCAGGAAGAGGGCATATGACAGAATGGAGGTACGGGGGTACAGGGGTCCGGGCGAAGAGATCTGGTGACAGCAGAGTAGGGCTCATCTTACAGAGCCAGGCAGAGGCCTGGAGCCCTTGGTTTTCCTCCCCCGACTCCTCAGATTCAGATGATGCCCTGCTGAAGATGACCATCAGTCAGCCGGAGTTTGGTCGAAGTGGGCTCCCTGACTTAAGCAGCATGACCGAGGAAGAACAGATTGCCTACGCCATGCAGATGTCCTTGCAGGGAGCCGGTGAGTGAAGCACTCCCAGGAGGGAATGGGGAAGAGAGGGGCCGTGGACGAAGGGCACGGGGAGTGTGCTGACCAAAGGGCTCTCTCTTTTCCAGAGTTTGGTCAGGCAGAGTCAGGTGACATTGATGCCAGCTCAGCCATGGATACCTCTGAGCCTGCCAAGGTGAGGGGTGGCCCTTTGCCTCCAACTCCCCCGAAACTTGTTAGCATCTGCATCCAGGCTCCGATTTGAGCCCCTCCCTACCTAGTCCATAGTCATCATGAACTACCCCTGGGGAGTCCTGGCATTCTCCTAAGGCTTGCTTATTCTTAGTATTCTTACTGTGGGAAATTGTGGAAAAGCAAAGATATTCTTGCTGAGTGGAAAAGACACAGGGAACTTGGTCCTAGGGAAGGGAGCAGGAGAATCGTGTTTTCTTTCTTGCTAAGAGGAGCAGACCAGAGAGTTCTTAGAAGAAGCAGATTTGTTTGCATATGAAAAGGAAGCCGGGGTGGCAAATTATCTATGTCCTGGGGATTCTGTCTTCCTTTGGCCAGGGATGTCCCTCTTGCCTAGGCACGTTCAGGGGTAGGAAAGGGCCTAGGAAACAGGAGCCTAGGGACCAGACATAGTCCCCCTGCCCCCAGATTAACATTGTCATTTCCCTAGGAGGAAGATGATTACGATGTGATGCAAGACCCTGAGTTCCTGCAGAGTGTCCTGGAGAATCTGCCAGGCGTGGACCCCAACAATGAGGCCATACGAAATGCCATGGGGTCACTGGCCTCACAAGCTACTAAGGAAGGCAAGAAGGAAAAGAAAGAGGAGGACAAGAAGTGAGGCCGGAGGGAAGGAGGGCTTGGTCTCCCTGAAATGGGGCTGAGAAGGGTGTGGGGGGAGTTGTCACATAGTGTTTAGGTGAAGATCTTGTGTAACAGTTAAAACCGAAATAAAGTTTGGTGATTTTTTTTTCCTTAAAACCAAAACTACCACTTTGGGTGAGGGGAAGGGCTGCACACCAGGAAAAAGGGAATGATTGTTTGCCTTGGGCCTCTGTGGAGGGTTCACTGTCGGAAATAGATAAAGGAACCAGGAAGTGAGGCGAGCTGAAGAGGGAGCTGTGTTCCTGGGGTAGAAGAAAAGGAAGTTTACCAAACAAGACGGATATTGGCTTCAAGTAAATAGTAGATCCTGTTTTAGGAGGATTCATGGAATTTAGAGCTGGAGCCCTTCATTGTACAAATGAAGAAACTGAAGGCCAGACGTAGTTAAGGACTGGCTCAAGATCACAGTCACTGAACTAGGATTCACCCTTGGGCCCACTGACCCCAAAGTCTGCTCTTTCGGTTACAACGCATTGTCTTTTTTTTTTTTTCCCAACGGCGCTTGTTACTGTGGACAGTGACTACCCAGTTTCTGTACCAAAAACACAGATGGAAAGGGTGACAGTTTCCACATGGCCATCACCGGCAGCGGCCACATGTAGGGATTCTGCCCAACCTGACAGCTCATTCCAGGACTTGAGATTGGTTCAAACTTTCAATTTTTTGACAGAACAATTGCTCAGAACAACTTTTTATAATTTCTGCATTTTAGCTAGTGCTGGCCAACCCACACCTCATATCCCTAGTCATTCAAGCTTCAGAATCAGAACCTAGAAGCCGTTTTTCCCTGCCTCCCTCCTTTGCCATTTTCTCACTATTTGTTTCTCTCTTTTTTTCATTTGTTCCTTCTTTGGGCAATGGACAGGTGAAGCTGGAGAACTCAGATGGCTTCTTTCAATCTGTCCTGCTACACTGAGAGGATATGACAGTCGTGGCCTTTCCCCTAAGAATTAAAGGAATTGTAGTGTGGGGTTGGGAAGCTCTGATGTAGGAGCACAGGGCAGGTGGCTGGGGAGCCTCTGGTGGCTGATGGTTTTCTTCCTTAGACTATCGATGTTCTATGTTATTCTGGTCTATCACATACATGTGAAGTTCTTTCCTTGGGTACTGGAGAAGAATCATGGTTTTTGTCTTTGCATCAGTGGTGTAATGCTGCACATTTCAAATCGGGCCAGAGCTGGATGGTGAGGACGTGTCACTTAAGATGGCCGGGGCGGAGGGAGGGGACCTTGTATCCCCAGTGCTTAGCACAGTGCCGGGCACATCTTTTTCTTAATACAGGTGGATATCAAGGAGAGGCAGCATTATGCAGTGGGTAGAGCTTGACCCTACATGCTGAGTGACCCTGAGCAAATCACTCCAGTGCTTAAGCCAACTCAAAGCTGTAATTTGCAGAGGAGATGTTGACTTGCATTAGTAGAAGGAGTTTTCTCCCCACAGAGCTTCCTTTCCCAGGGTTATCAGGCTCCAGGCCTTATTCCTATCTCCATTACCAAAGTTTCAAGTCAGGATATTGGTAGTTTCATGCCAGTGGCTCTCTCTCTAGTCATGATCATTTTCAATCTCACTCCAGTCCGTGCTTGCCATTAATAACTGACATTTAGATAGGGCTTTAAAGTTTGCAAAGAATTTTACACACATCACCTCTTGATCCTCACAACAGCCTTGGGAAGTAGGTACAATTGTCATCTCCATCTTATAGATGAAACTGGGAATCATGGTGGTTGCAACTTACCAATGGTCACATGACTACTAAGTGGCTGATGGGAAATGCAACTCCTTATCTCTGACCAACTGCACCACACTCTCCACGTTCCCCCTTTCCTGGGTGTCCCAAATATGTACTTTATCTATTCAAGGTATCCAGAGTTAGACTCCATGGAGACTGCCAATTTTGGCTTCTCTACCCTGTTCCCATCTCTCTCCAAGCCCTTAGTACCAGCACTGAGGGATTCCCTGGGCTGAAGTCAGACCTTCCTTGAGCAGCTAAGGAGGGATTGTTTGTTTTGCAAGGGGAAAGACCCAAACCGAAGGGGAAAACAAGTGATTAAAGTCTTTAATTTATATCAGTTGTGATTAGGAGAGAGACTCTTTACAAATTATAAGGAACTAGATTTAATATTTTTGCACAACAAAATATTTTACTGTACAATATTTTATGTAGGACAGAAAGCCTTATGTACAATGTCAAAAAGAAATGGGGAAAATAAATCCTTTGTAGTAAGTACACAGTCCAATTTTTTTGTTCTTATGTGGGAGAGAGCTTTATAAGGGTTGTACCATAACAGAAAATTACATGTAAAATGACAAAATCATCAATAAAATTAAAAAAAATCTTTGAGTAATAAATGCTTATTGGATATATCTGATAAAAACCTGACATCCAGCATCTATCAGGAATTTACCAACATTTATGTTAAAATCTAACATAACTAACTCGCAATTTTGGAAGGAAGAAACATAAATTGTCAGTGATGCCCTGAAAAAAATGCCAAACTTCCAAACCACTCTGATGTATCACTTTAGCTGTTGAGATTTAATTATTAAAAATAAAATTAAATAATTGTGGGAATGTGGGAAATGGGCACCCTACAGAGTTGTGAAATATGGCATACAGTAAGTTCCAAAATTGGCAGCTAGGTGGCACAGTGGATATATCACCAGGCCTTTAGTCAAGAAGACCTGAGTTCAAATGAACCTCACACTAGCTGGGAAGTCACCTAACTGTTTGCCTCAGTTTCCTCATCTGTAATATGAGCTGGAGAAGGAAATGGCAAACCATTCCAATTTCTTGGCCAAGAAAACCCCAAATGGAGTCAGAAGAGTTGTTCATAACTGAACAACAAAAGTTACAAAAAACTATTAATACTTTTTGACCTAGTGATCCTATTAGACCTACACCCTAAATATGTTATTAAAAGGGGGGAAAAACCCTTTTATCTACATAACAATAACTTTTCTTAAAATAGCACCAATTAGGAACAATACATATCTCCACTGATTAGGAAATGATTGAAAAAACTGGTAAATTAATATGGAATATTATTGTGCCATTAAGAAAAGAGAAGTATGAAGAATATAAATGTAGGAAGAACATCATGAAGTGATATAAAGTGAAAAAATCAGAACAACATGTACTCTGACTAATAACAAAATTAAAAAATTCACAGAAATAAAAGAACAGAAGGGGACTTGGTAGCAGATGGGATACATTTTTTCTTGCTGTTTTGTCAAAGTTAATATGCACTTTTAAAAAAAAAGTAAATATAAATGTATTATCCTAAGTTTTTTGTTTATTTGAAGGGTTTTTTTGTTTTTGACTAGGCAACGGGGTTAAGTGACTTGCCCAGGGCCACACAGCTAGTAAATGTTATGTGTCTGAGGCCAGATTCGAACTCCGGTCCTCCCGAATCCAGGGCTGGTGCTCTATCCACTGCGCTACCTAGCTGCCTCTTATTTGAAGGTTTGTTGGTGGTTACAGTTTGGAATAAAAAATTGTAATGATTTCAATGCAGACAGTACCTCCTCACCCTAAGATGGTCAGGATTCCTTCTAACCCAGGCTAGGAGTCTTAGGTGCTGGTGAAAGTCTAGTTTAGGACCATGCCCTGAAACAAATAAGTTTTTATAGATAAGAAACTTGAAAATCTCTAGACTCGGGTTCCATCTGTACTCCCATTCAAATACAATTTGTAAGGGCCAACATAAAAGCTGACTAGAATGCAAAAGAATAGCAACTGATTTTGTTGATGACAAAGGTTTTCATAACAAAGGTGGCTTCTACTGGCCCTTTTGTTTTTGCTCCAGGATTCATTTGCAAGTCAATCTGTGTGCTGGGAGCCTAGGGGTTCCTCAGCCCACACACACAAATCTGCTATGATTTTTAAGGGAAGTCTGGCGAGGGAGCTCACTGATAATTTTGTATCCCCAGTGCTGAGCCCGGTTCCTGTCACATAGTAGATGTTTAATCTTTATTGATTGAATATTTATTGTGTGCCTACTATATGCGGCAAAAGACAGCTCCTGCCCTCAAGGAGCCCACAATCTAGTGGGAGGGATGACGTGCAAACAAACATATACAGAACAAGTAATGTGTAGGACAAACAGGAAATAATTAACAGAGGGAAGGCACTGGAATTAAGAGAGGTTGGAGAAGGCTTCCTGTAGAAGGTGGGATTTTGTTGTGACCTAAAAGAAGCCAGAGAGGTCAATAGTCATGGTGGAGGAAGGAGAGTGTTCCAGGCATGGGGGACAAGCAGAGAAAATGCCCAGAGCCTGTTGGTGAAACAGGTAGAAGGCCAGTGTTACTGGAAGAGTATTGGGGGTAAGAAGATTGGGAAAGTAGGACAGGACAAGGGTATGAAGGGTCTTGAAAGCCAAACAGATCACTTTGTATTTTCTCCTGGAGACAATAGGGAGCCACTAGAATTTATTGAGTAAGGGGGTGATATGGTCAGAGCTGTGCTTTAGAAAAATTATTTTAATGGCTAAATGGAGGATGAATTGGGATGGGGAGAGACTTGAGGCAGGCAGACTCATGTGCAATTGTCAACCATCACTAAGTTTGTTTTTAGAAAGATGAACAAATTTAGTCTGAATGTGAGTGTTTATTTCTCTCCAAACTTGTGAAACATGCATATAGAGATATGCATGACAGCTCATTGTGAGACAATGAACCCAAGGATGGACAAACAAAGAGGATTTTTATATATTCAGAGCTATTGCCTCTCACTCCTCCCTCCCTTCCTGGCTCAGGATGCCTATGTCAGCCAAAATTATGGTCTCCAAATGTTTAACCATGATATGAGTAAAGAATTTCTTAAGTGAATAGGTTGTAGACACAAGAAGACAGGAAAATGTCAAAGTGTCAAATGAAATTATAGATCCAGGATATCTGTGTTTCTTTTACCATTAACATGATACAACATAGTATATGTCCATAAAACACTAAGATAAGAAAAGTCCCACTATTCAAGACAATGTCTGTTCCCAGGCATCCTGTCCTTGCTGGCCATAAACAGAAGAATGCCGACCAGCTTCATCTGGTCTTGTAGTTACTGACACAGGAAGGGGCATTTTGAGTTCACTCAGAGAGCAATGCAGTGTAAAGCATTATGGTAGATTAAGCCCAGAGATGGCTAAAATGTCTGTCCTGATTGGCCAATCCAGGTTTTAGGTCTTTCTTAAATGTTAGGGTTCAAAATGGTTTGGAGAGGGGTCTACACAATAATCCAGGCATGAGGTGATGAGGGCCTGCACTAGAATGGCGGCAGTGTCAGAGGAGTGAAGGGGTAGGCCTTGGCAACAGATTGGACGTGGACGGTGAGAGATAATGAGTCTAGGATGACACCTAGGTTATGAGCCTGAGGGATGATATTGCCCTTTACAGTAACAGGGAAGGTAGGAGGTAGGGAGAGTTTAGGAGGAAAGATAACGAGTTGAGTTTTGGACATGTTGAATTTAAGATGT